CGCCGCCGCCGCCGCCGCCGCCGGGAGAGCGGGCGGGCATGGCCCAGCCGGCGGCGGTGCCGCGCTGCCTCCGCCCGGCCGCGGCCAGCCCGCCGCGCCGCGCCGCACAAAGAGCCGAGGCCCGGTCTGCCTTTAAAGGCGGCAGCCTGAGACTTAAGGTGTCCCCGGCGTGCGGGCCTCCGCGCTCCGGCTGCCGCCTGGACGCGTGCTGCATGGAGAGCGCCCGGCCCCCGCGCGCCGGGCCTGGAGTCCACCCCTTTGTTTATTTCCTGGGCTTAGGGGCTTGGGGGTAGGGAGGTAGGTACGGGGCTGCGGCTGTACCCTCTTCCGTCCCCGCTTACCGTGCTTCCCGAGCTGTGCAGCCCGCCTGACGCACGCGGTTAAAAAAAAAAAAAAGAAAAGAAAATTAAGGTGGCCGAGAAGGAAAGGGTTAACCGTTGTCTTTAAATATTCATATCATTGTTTTAAAGGTGTAAACATGCGGATTCTGGGTTGGAGCGGACTACCTCTTATTATGCAAATGTACTCCCCCCATTAATTACGATTTCCCCAAGCACCCCCCCCCATTTTCGCACACCCACCCTACAAAAACTGTAAGTTTTCAAGGTTCGGATGTGAGTGTGGGATGTGTGTCCCTCGTTCCATTTCGAATTTTAAAACTCCTGAGTGCTTTGTGGACTTCAGGTGTTTTAAACTTTTTTCCTCTTAAAAATCTGGGAAAATATAAATTATGTTTAAAAGGAAGTTAGTCCCTCAAATTCCCCGCCTCTTTTTGGGGGGGGAGGGTAGGGTTGGAGGTAGGAAAATAACTGGATGCCTCGTGAGTTGGATTTTTTTTTTCCCCCTGGTAGGAGTGAGGCGATGTTAAGTGCGAGGCGTTTTGTGAGCAAAGAACTTGTTTTGTTCCAAACTCTTCCAAGTCAAAGTGCTATTGGACTTTTCCTAACTCTAAAATGGCTTCAGAATTCCCCTCTGGTATTTTGCTTTGCTCCCCTGCCAACCCTCCTTTTGGACAGGTTGATTTCTTGGAATCTTGGAAGGTTTGTTCCTGCACAGTTGTAGGTTTCAAACCGAAATGATTGCTTACCCCAAACATGTTTTTGTAAGGACAGTTTGGATTACTGCCCAAACTCGGGCTTTGTGAGATTTATTTTATTTAGTTATTTTGTGAGTGTGTGTGTGAGAGTGTGTGTGTGTGTGTGTGAGAGAGAGATTTATTTTAAATGAGTGATGTGCTTCCCAGGAGATCAGAAACTCTATAAATGGGAATTATGTTCTTAATCATAAATTTTATAGGGGAAACTGACTCTGAAACTTGGGGTGTTTGTAATTCTTTGCCCAATAAAATACCAATCTGGAGGTTTGTAAACCCTGGGACCACATATAAGATTCTGGTTTAACCTCTGAGACTTGAGATTTAGAAGGGTTTGCCCTAGAAACTTCCAGTGGTACCAAGTACTATAAATGCCAGTGATTTAGTACAGTTTAATTTCTCATTTTAGTTCTGCAATGAAACCGTAATGAGCAGGGGCAAGCATATTTATTTTGTCAATGATGTGTGTGTACTGGTTTGTTGGGCGGGATGTTTGCTTTCTAGGAAAGAGCACTGCATTAAAACGTTAGAGAACTTTCCACTGCTCTCTTGGAGAAAATTAATCTTGCTGTGTTAAACAGCCATTCCACTTTTCGAGTTGTGTTCTTTAGTGAGGCTTCCTTAGTTTTGGATCATGTTGTACTTTTGGCCCAGAGTGAAAACACGCTTTTCTAAAATTGAATTGAGCATCGTGAAGAATTTCATCAAGTGCATTTCCGTCAGCATCCTTTTCCTGCAGAGTGTCTGTCTAATGGGCATTTTATTTTTCTGTGTGAGATAGCAGAAGATACTAAGAGGCTTTCCAGAAAAGTCCCTTTAGCCAGGCCTTCTAATTTCTCAACCGTAGTGCTTCTAGGTTGACAGATGAAGTGACCAGAAGTTTTCTCATAATGCTGGCCGCCAGAAGAACCTTTGGGACCTACTGCTCAAGATGGCCTTGTGTCATGTGTCAGCTGGCCCATAGTGCTTTCTTCAGGGGAGGTGTCCTGGCTGCCCCTCAGAGCCACAGTTATGGCAACACAGACGTCAGGTCTTCTTCAGTAGAAGATGTCTGTGATGGTACAGTCACTTTTTAAAAATGATTCGATCTGGATTATGCCTCACTGTAATGAACTGTTATGGCCTCCGATCACCCTATGCAGTCTGGATGATTTCAGCTTTTCTCACACTTGTCACTGTCCTGTATTCACTTGATTCTTAGCAAGTACTGGTGAGAATTCTTTTAATGGTGTCTTTGTGTTTTGGCGCTACCTAGGTGGATCTGTAAAGAAACCAACGGCTAGGAGAGGGAGGGGAGGAGCCCAGCTGTGAGGTGTGTGCGCCCCAGAACCATGTCTACGCGGGAGTCCTTTAACCCCGAAAGTTATGAATTGGACAAGAGCTTCCGGCTAACCAGATTCACTGAACTGAAGGGCACTGGCTGCAAAGTGCCCCAAGATGTCCTGCAGAAATTGCTGGAATCCTTACAAGAGAACCACTTCCAAGAAGATGAGCAATTTCTGGGAGCAGTTATGCCAAGGCTTGGTATGTGAACCATTACTTCTTTTATACTTCCCCAAAGTAGAGCATCTTGGCTGCAATTGAAGTCAATGAGTCAAAAGCCAAACTTCTGTCCTCCCATGGTGCCTTTTTCAAAAAGCAAAGCAATGATAACTATTCTAATATTGTAACTTATTTGGAGGAAGTACTTGAAAAGCATCAAGAAATGTGCTCTAGCCATTTTTAAACTATTAAGTGTGCAGTTGAGACAATTCTATTACGGTAAGAGAATTTTTTACTAAATTGAATTTTGTAGTTAGCTGAGGATTAAGCAGAAACTCCTTTATGCATCTGTTCTAAAATTTTCCTTAAAACTCTTGCATTCTCTTCTTTGCCTTAGGAAAGCTAGTGCTTACGTGTCATTGTGCAGCACTTTGAGGGCAGTGATGGGGTGGGGGGGACCCCTGGGTTCCTCTGCAGTATGCACTGTTTGATGAGCTCTGCTAGGGAGGAGGGAGAAGACTGGACTGAATGTGTGCCTGACCCTAGGACGTCATCTGGCACAGAGAGTGTGTTTTGTTTTTTTTTCTTTACTAAATTCCTGATGTTTTAGTGGTTTGCCTCTTCCCAAGCACAGAGCTCAGAAAGAAATTCTAGCCTATTGGGATATTGTTTGTTAGCTTTTATTGTCTGGTGCGTTAAGGACGTGGCAAAAGACTGTGCTCACTTGGCCTTCTGAGTGTTTGGTGTGTATTCTAGGAGTTTGAATGTTTGGTAGTTACGGTGTGTGACCCGATCAGCTTTCTTACATAAGGTTTTCGTTCTGTTCATTTTCACCCATTGTTTGTGCAGTTCTGTCTTAAAACATTCTGTCTCACAACCCAGGATGCTCCTTTCTTCCCTGATATGTAAAGGAGATATAAAAGCAGAGCTGCTTTGGTTGGAGGAGAGGAAACTTCACACCCCACACTCTAAGGGCCGCTGGGCTGGCTCCCAGGAGCTCAGTTCGAAAACCAGCTTCATCTAGCTGATGTCTGAGCATGGAGAAATGCCACGTGAATGGGTTGGATTAGATGTTGTCTTGTCAAGAAATAAGAATGTACTGAGAAAGCTGTCCTATAACTATGTCAAGAGAAATAAGCTGCCAAATGGGCAAAACCAAATGCAATAAAAGCCTCGTGGATATAGTAGTAATTCCTCTTTATAACTTCCCCTGTTGACCTTATGAGCATGCCATGCACTGTTAAGCACTTTGAAAATGGGTCAGTTCATTGCTCTTCCCTCTGCCCCATGATGCACAGGAAGGCCGGGTAACCCATCCCATGTCACTTGGCGAGGGTCAGGACCTGGAGTCCATGTTTTCTGATTCCTCCCCGCACCATACCGTTTGTCACCCGGTTTCTAAGTCCAACATGTTTGCAGTGAGAATAGGGGCTGCAAGGTACAACCTAGCAGTGGCAAAGGGGAGAGACAGATGGGGACAGTAAGTGGAGAGGCAGAAAAAAGCTGTTAGAAGAATACTAGCGCAAAGGAGTATAGTCTCCTAGGGCTTTGGGGAAGCATTTGGAAGCCGTGAACCTTTCCCAGAAAAAGGCCCACTCATAAAATTGAGCATTCCTGGCATTCTCCAGGGGCAGAAGGACCCCAGGTTACAAGCAAGTGGGTGCTGAAGGAAGCATAGTATTAAACCTCATCCAGAAGTGGTAACATCTAGATAGCCAAAACTTCGCTTTGGAATCAGATCTAGATTCTTGTCTGGACACAGTCATTAATGAGTCACTAATGTTAATCTGAGCGACAGTGTCCCAATCTTGGGAATGAGATAATTATACTTACTGTTTCTAAGTGTTGGAAGTATCAGAAATTACGGGTGTGTATATGTACCGTGTGTATCTTTACCCAGATAGACACATGATATATACACACCAGTGTGTTTAAACTCTAAACGAGTGACATTTCCTGGATCCTAAGATGGTGACAGTTGTTAAATGTACATGTGTTGATTAGATGTATTCTCACTAAAGAAATGTTAAAATAAGTGTTTCTTGCCTGAGACATAAGAGCTATATCAAGTATTGATCGCTGCCGGCAAGTGGTGGTAGTATGATCATTGGGTTCTTCTGCTTGATGGATGGTTTCAGTCTTGCTGAAAACCCAGAATTCCCCACCACCCACTGGTAATTAAATATAACACTGCTTGGTCTGGTATTTGAGGCCCCCCCCCCCCCCCCGCCGTGGTATTTTCGTCTGTTACCACCTGTCCTCTCCCTGGACTGTCCCTCGCTCTCAACTTGATCCTCTGGTTTTTTAAGGCCAGTGGCTCATCTCAGATAGGCCCTCTCTCCCCCGTCACTATGGACCAGTGCTGTACGAGAGAAATACCATGTGAGCCACACGTGTAATTTCAAATTTCCTAGAGCATTGGGTGAAATTAATTCTAACATATTTTACTTAATCCTAAAAACCTCATTTAAACACATAATTGATATAAAATATTGCTAATGAAATGTTGGGTTTTTTGGTAAACATGCTCAAGAGTCATCAGTTAAAATGCTCTGATAATACATATAAATAGAAATTAAATCCTTCACAAAATTTATTTAATTCAAATTTGGATTAACCAGAATAGAAACATTTTTTTAACAAAAAGATTTATTTATTTGGTTGAGAGAGAGACAGAGCATGAACAGAGGGAGGGGCACAGGGAGAGGGAAAAGCAGGCTCCCCACTGAGCAAGGAGCCTGAAGCGGGACTCGATCCCAGGACCCTGGGATCATGACCTGAGCCAAAGGCAGATGCTTAACTGACTGAGCCACCCAGGCGCCCTGATGAGAAACATTTAAAGCTAACATTCAGCAGCTATGTCTGGTTTCCTTCAGGAGTCCTGTGGTTTATACATGAAAACCCCAAAGAAAACTGTATTTCGCTCTTTCATGAAGCAAACAGTAATATCCTCAGAATGACCTGTTGGGTCAATTTAGGGAGACTCAGGATGAGTAAAATTGTGGTTCTTGCCATTTCCACTTAAGTGCTCAAAAGCAGTTGTCAGGTGAAGTTTCTGGGAGGTGTGCACATATGTCATTTAGATGAATTATCACACATGTTCCCACCTGATGCACATGGACCCTCATGACCTGGGCAGTGTGCTTCGTTGTCACACACCCATGCGACTTGCCATCCGGACACTGCCTTGCCATCTTGTGTGGTGGAAAATCAGCCTGCCTTCACAAAGTCTGTGACTTTTTATTAACCTCGATTTTTATTTTTGCTTTAGTAATAATGGATCAAGGCCTGGGAAAATAAGGTGCCCCTGTGATGCGGCCTCTCGTGGGTATTTTGCCGTTGTGGTGCTGAGATCGTTATACTGCAGCAGTTTTACTCAAGCAGAATGTGAAAGGTGCTCAGACATTCGTCTCAGTGTGACGCAAATATGATTTATTCTTGTTCCGTTTGCAATTCTGAATTACGAGGGTGCCATCCACTTGCTTCCTTTGGTATTTTATCCTGATTTTTTTTCTCCACCTTCAGCTCTTGTGCTGCCAAGTTGAAATCCTCATAAGGGGGCAGGTGGGTATCCTTTCGAGAGAGGTGAGGGAAAGCACTCTGTATTCAGCTTGCTTGGTGGGAGGGCCAGTCTGAATTTGAATATGTCCCCATTACAGGTGATTTCCAAAGAAATGTTGTCTATAGTAGCTTAGTTTTGACTGTTTCTAAACCAATTTCAGGAAAAGGGAATTATTTCTAATTAGACCATCCGTTGTCCATATTATCTTTCTAAATGTTTAGAAACGATTTTTAATAAATTGAACTATTGCCTGCAGGCTTGGTAGCGTGCCAGTAAAGGTGACATTTACAAGTTTTCTGCAAGAGAAATAATGTGGAATTTTAAAGTTTCCTCTTAAAAAACACTTTTGGTAACCTACATACCAGATCCCACAGATGCCACAGTGTCTGTCCAAGCTTGAGTGGAAACGAATACTTGTTCCAACTTTGTCCTTCTTTCCTTCCTCTCTCTCTCTCCCCCTCCCTCCCTTTCTCGCTCTCACTTAAGCTTATTTATTTATTTTTAAGTAATCTCTACACCCAATGTGGGGATCGAACTCATGACCCCCAGATCAAGAGTTGCACGCTCCACTGACTGAGCCAGCCAGGCGCCCTCCCCATTTTCATTTTCATTTTTGACTAAAATGGAGAAGTAATAATAACACTTATATGTATAAAAGATCTTACAGAGTTTTATTGGGGAAAACAGAATAACGCCTAAAGATCTACTCAAAAAGTAACTGTAGCTAAGACAACCCAAGTTCCGTTAACACTTTCTCATCTTTAAAGGAATTTTCTGTGGTGCCAGCCACATGATACAGTAATACAAAGGAAAAATTTCCTTTGGAGGCATCATTAAAGTCTAAAAATTGTACGGTATTGAAGTTGAGTCTTCATGACTAACAAATTTTATTCTCACTTTCCATCTTAAGCCAGTTATGTTTCACGTTTATTTCACTTACGGTCTTGATAGGAAACACATTGCTTTGTTGGCAGGGCTCAGTGCTCCATAAGCATCGTGCACGAAACTGCTCCTATTCGCAACACTGATGGTATAAAATGAAATGGCTTTTCCTTTTGGTTTTTGGACGCTGACGACTTTCATCTTTACAGGCATTGGAATGGATACTTGTGTCATTCCTTTGAGGCATGGCGGTCTCTCTCTGGTTCAAACCACGGATTACATCTATCCTATCGTCGATGACCCTTACATGATGGTGAGTTTGACCCGGGTGTGTGTTTACATCCGGAACTGCTTGTTGGTTGGGTTTGGGGCTGGGGGCTTGGCTTTCCTGACACGCCAGTTGTCAGCATCCTGCCAGCGCTGCCCTGCCTTCTGCACTCGCAGCCATTGGGTCTGCCCTGCTCAGGCTCGGTACCGGGCGGAAGGCAGTGGGGACAGGCACGGGGAGCCCCTCTGCTGCTCCTGTACCTGCGGGTGTGTCTGGGCGCAAACACCTGTTGTGTCCTCAGCACATCTGTTGACGGACGTGCTTAGTTTTCTTCTTTCCTTCTTCCTCTGACATTTGTAAACTCCACATTCCTGTGTTTGAGGCTACGAGGTGTTACCACACTCGGTAGCAGAACTGATGCTAGGTGTTTCCTTCCAGAAATAAACAGCTTAGCGTCTCACCACAGTTAAGCTACTTGACTGTCGATTCCAACTCTGGTCACTAGGCACCTCAGTGTGTCATGTGTCACCATGTAGAATGCATATCTGATCTGCGGTGTTAAGTTCCTGGCTACTGATCACGGCCCTGCCTAGATCTACTTCGAAATTGCCCAGTGCATGGCTACGCCAGCAACCTCCTGATCTGCCCGACTTTAACCCCCTACCAGACGAGGAGCCGATGGAGAAACGGGGAGCATCATGCTGTTAAGAAATGGGCCTCCCTGTGTGCCAGGGCACTGAACTCAAGCCACACGCATAGGGACTTGGGCCCCGAGACAGCTTAGTGCGGGGAGGTGGAAGGTCACCTCTCAGGTGCCAGTGACAAGCAGATAGTTGACTAGAAACCTGACTGGCCCCTGCACTTCTGTTCTCTCCTCTGGAGCAATACTCCTGAGAGACCACAGGTGCCCCACCTGACCAGGTGGCAGAGGCGGCTAGGACCAGAATTCAGCCTTTAGCCAGCATCTCTCTCTCTCTCTCTCTCTCTCTCTTTTTTTTTTAAGATTTTATTTATTTATTTGACATAGAGCACAAGCCAGGGGGACAGCAGATAGAGGGAGAAGCAGGCTCCCTGCTGAACAAGGAGCCCGATGCAGGACTCCATCCCAGACCCCGGGATCACAACGTAGCCAACCAGGTGCCTCTAGCCAGCATCTCTTAAAAGCATCAGAGAGGGGACAGAACATGGCTACAGCCCCAAGTGGCAGGCACCTCCGAATTGCAAAAGCCCTGTTGCCCCTGCTGTTGTCGCTTCCGAGCTCACTGCCATTCTGCCAGGAAGTCCTAAGAAGACCTTAGCGAGTACTGAGCCAGCTGCTGAAATGATCATACTTGGGAGTTTGATTATTCTCATGTCAGAAGAACAATTTGTCATTTTCTCCTTTACTATCTAGAAATGACAACTTATATTTATTTTTTATTTATTTTTCAGAGCGGGGGTTGGGGGGCAGGGGGAGAGAGAGAGAATCTCAAGCAGGCTCTGTGCCCAGCGCGGATGGAGCCCGACATGGGGCTTGATCTCACGACCCTCAGATCACGACCTGAGCTAAAATGAAGAGTCTCATGCTCAACCACTAAGCCACCTAGGCGCCCATTGTTTTTTTTGTTGTTGTTGTTTTAAAGATTTTATTTATTTATTTATTTGACAGAGAGACACAGCGAGAGAGGGAACACAAGCAGGGGGAGCGGGAGAGGGAGAAGCAGGCTCCCCGCTGAGCAGGGAGCCCGATGCGGGGCTTGATCCCAGGACCCTGAGATCATGACCCGAGCGGAAGGCAGATGCTTAACAACTGAGCCACCTAGGCACCCGCCCCTGTTTTGTTTTTTTTTTTAAGATTTTACTTTTAAGTAATCTCTACACCCAACATGGGGCTTGAACTTACAACCCCGAGATCAAGAGTCACTAGCTGCACCAACTGAGCCAGCCAGGTACCCCCGACAACTTAATATTTAAAAAATCTCCAGTGGATATTAAAAAAAAAAATCTTTATCATATTTCTGTTGAGTTAAAAAGTTTCTTACAAAATAATATAGTTCACTGGAAATGCTTTTTACATGCTTTAGAAAACAGTCTGACTTCAGGCCTAGATGTTTTTTCTCTCTTCTATTTTTTTGATTTCTCAAGCAAAATGTTTTTCCTGTTTATCTTCTACAGCCTTGAAAAGAAGCTACTAAAATTTCTCCCTCCCTGTGTTATAAAAATCATCTTCTCTATAACCAATAAAGTGAACATATTTTTAGAATCTGTTTAGAATACGTGGCTGTTTCCCAAGTTTGCTTTAGAAGACCGTTGTTTTCCAACTTCTTCATTCCATAAGCTCTCCTCCCAGACCCATTAGCTCCAGCCTTGCTCGGCTCAGCATCTGCTCCCAACCCCGGTTCCCCCATCTAAATACATTGCAGGCTTCTCCCGATATTCAGAATGGGAAAGAACACAGAAATTCTGTGTTCTGCACAAGAAAGAAGAGGTGGTCACAGGAGTGTCTGAGAAACAGTGAAGGAATGGCCTCGTGGTTGTGTGATGAAGTAAAGGACACAGAAAGCGGGGACCACGTCCCTGGAAAGTCCCCGAGTTGTCCTGGGAGGTGCTCTGTAGGCACACACGGAAAGTCCCCCAGTTGTCCTCTCTCACGTCCCCCGTCTCTTCCAGGGCAGGATAGCATGTGCCAACGTCCTCAGTGACCTCTATGCCATGGGGGTCACGGAATGCGACAATATGCTGATGCTCCTCGGAATCAGTAATAAAATGACCGACAGGGTAAGTAGTCTGCTTTCTTGCTGGCGTCACTTGACTGGTTTGCCCTTTGTCCCCCCACCCCGTCCGTAACAGGAGGCACCCAGGCTGCACGGCTCTCCTCTTCTGTCGGGCTCCCCATTTATTTTTTGGCAACTCTCCGTGAATTAAAATAGAGACTCTGACCTATTCTTGTTCTCATTTCCACCACCTGCTTCCCTTTCTCTCTTCCAGGTAGACCGAAGCCAAGACAGGCATGTTTGTTTGCTTTACTAAAGTTGAGGCCTCAGTCCTAGCAGCTCCGCACCAGGCCTGTGGCCCAGGCCTAGCCTTACAGACCCCGGGCGCACGCCACTGCTGTTGGGGGTGACACCGCGGGGTGCCCCGTGCAGGCACGTGCTCACACAGCCGTGTCCATGGCCTTGCCACCAGCCCCTGTCCTTTGACTCAGGGATGATTTCCATTAGATTCTTTTTGAAAGGTACCTGTTTCTGTGCCCCCGAAAGAGGTTTGCTGCGCCTCGTAGAAATTAGCTGGTCATGGCTTCCACACAGCATCTGGAGGAGGGCGCTGGAACTCTTAAGGACCCCTGAAAGAGCTGGCCCCTCAGATGGAGGGCAGATCTGTGGAGCCAGTCAAATTCCAGTTTTTAATTCTGTGTTGTCTGGGCTCCGTTCACATTGTAACCTAGAGCGCCTTCCGACTCCTGATAAAATGGCTGCAGTGTCAGCCCTTGCCGCCTCCTTCCTCTGATCCCCAACCCTGGCTATAAACCGCAGGAGCCCTTCTAGGGTTTTATGATCTTCTTTATGACACTAAGCGTAGATTCTCTTTTCTGGGTTCTGAACTGAATTTTATGTGACCTTTTATTTGTGTTCATTTCAACCCTAGGAAAGGGACAAAGTGATGCCCCTAATTATACAGGGTTTTAAGGACGCAGCAGAGGAGGCAGGGACGTCTGTGACTGGTGGCCAGACGGTGTTAAACCCCTGGATTGTTCTGGGAGGAGTGGCCACGACTGTCTGCCAGCCCAATGAATTTATCATGTAAGTGGATTTTGTTTCCCATCGCCTGGCCTGGTTCTCACTTTCTTTTTCGTTTTTTAGTAAAGATGTATTGAAATAGGAATTCACATCCCATTGGTGGTGTTGCACAGAGTTATGTAGCCATCTCCAGAGATGATTGTAGAACATTCCGTCACCCCAGCTGGAAACCTATCCCCCTCACTGTCACTCCATGTTCCCCTGGCTCCCATTCTGCCTTTCACTGCACACAATAGTAGCATGATATTTTTAAGGTTCATCATTTTGTGGAACAAAACAGTACTTTATTCCTAATTTTTTTTAATTTTGGGGTTTTTTTATTGAAGTACATTTCATATAACAAAATTTCACATCACATTAAATTCAACTTTTTAAAAAAATAATTATCTATTTATTAGAGCAGAGGGAGAGGCAGAGGGGGAGGGAGGGGGACAAGCAGACTCATGCTGAGCCCAGAGCCCGACATGGGACCTGAGCCCAAACCAGAGTCAGGTGCTTAACTGACTGTGCCCGGCATCCCATGAAATTCAGCTTTTTAAAGTATACACTTCACTGGTTTTTAGTATTAACAAGGTTGTGCAGCCATCACCATTGTCCAATTCCAGAACATTTCGATCACTCCAAAAAGAAACCCTGTATCTGTAAGCAGTCACTCCCAACTCCCTTCTCCCCGCGTCCTGGAAACCGTTAATCTACTTTCCATCTTGTGAAGTTGCCCATTTTCAACATTTCTGATAAATGGAATCCTAGGATACATCAGTATTTTGTGTCTGGCTTCTTTCAGTTGGTGTGACGTTTCCAGACTCCGTGTTGTGGCATGTTGTCCCTGCTTCGTGCCTTTTTACGGCTGAATGACAGTCCATGGTGTGATAGACCAACGTGTGTTCACGTGTTCACAGTTGATGGACCTTTGGGTTGTTTCCACCTGTTAACAGATGATGCTGCTGTGAACTTTTGTGTGCAAGTTTTTGTGAACATACATTGCATTTCCCATGGTGTGATGTACCTAAGAATTACCGGGTCACACGGTAACTGTGTAGCTTGAGCCACCATCACCCTGGTTTCCAGCAGTGCCTCCATTTTACATCCAAAACAGCACCATAGGAGAATGCCAGTGTCCGCATCCTCACTAGTCCTCGAGACTTGTCTGCATGTTTGGTATAGCCAGCCTAGCAGGTGTGAGGTGATCCATGTCCCGGTGTGAAATTGGCATTTCTCTGGTAGCTAATCGTACGAGCCTCTGTTCATGTGCTTTCTAGCCATTTCTAGATCTTTGGGAAAGAGTCTCTCTGTCTCTCTCTCTTTTTCTTTGAAAGATTCTGTCTTAAAGAAGTTAACTTTACATGTTTGATGTCTTTAAGAAAAGAAAATGTCCTATTTTCTGAAGGAAGTAGAAACTCCATTTGTTTACCTTTAAAAAAAAAAAAAGATTTTATTTATTCATGAGAGCCTGCACACGAGTGGGGCGGGGAGGGGCAGAGGGAGAAGCAGAGCAGGGAGCCTGACGTGGGGCCGACCAAGCCACCCAGGCATCCCTGTTTGGCTTTTTTCTGTGAACAGGTACTAACAGGCAGGGTGCTCACAAGATTCGGTGTTCAGACGTTAGAGAAAAATCTACAGTGCAGAGTCCCCCCCGTCCTTGTCACCAGTTTCCTTTCCTGGACAAGGGAACTACTTTTACCAAGTTTGAGCCAATTTACTATTCACATTTAGGTTATTCCATTATTTTGACATTACAAATAGTACTTCATCGTGTAACCATTACACGTAGATGATTTTGCATATGCGTAACTCTTGGTAAGAAATTTTTCAAAATAGAATGGCTAGGTCAAATATATGTGCAGAGTCATGACAGATTTCTCCAGATTGCCCTGCGTAGAGGCTTGGCCAGCAGTGAACAAGACTGCCACGCCCCCCCCCCCCCACCAACACAGTGTGCACACAAGCCTCTCAGTTCTTTGCCAGTCTGTTTGGTGGCTTAAACCTTACTCCTTTGTGAGGAAAGTTGAGCATATTTTTATATATTCTTGTCTTTTGCCCATTTTTTTAATTGATGGGAGCTCCTTTTAGAGACATTGTCTGATAGCTTTCATGTGAAGGGTCTTGCATTTTACTTACACCAGAGTTTTGTTTTCCTGTGTTTTATGTTGCTCGTTCTCAGGCTTCTGCACAGAGGATCGTGGGTCCATCTGCCTCCCGCATTTCAGCTTTTCAGTAGAAAAAGAACTTAAGCAATTGCAAAAATTAGGAAAACATAATAAAACAAGCTTCAGTGGATTTTTTGGTCAACAGCATGTATGTTTGGTTTGTAAAACAGGAATGAGCGTGCACATGTCGTTATATTTCATCCAGTAGTGCCTATGAACTTGAACATCACCCGGTAGTTGTGAGTCGTAATGCTTGTGGCTGGCACATGACCGGTGCTGTCCAAGAACATACCAGCGCCAAGGTGCGGCTGAGTCACACCTGAAAGACATTCATGTCTCAAGGCTTACTTTTTGGAAAAGGAAAGTTTCTTACATACCGTTACCACATGAACATTTTTCAAAGCGAACAGTGGATACAGAGATCACGGGATGAGCTGGGGAGCTAGTGGTTGATTTTAAGTCTGTGCCCCTGGCTTGGTGATCGGCATGGGTGACATAGTCCTCTCCTGTTGGAGGGCAGAGCGGCTGGGTGGACAGCGTGAACCGACGCAAGAAAGACACGAGGGCTGGCCATGCCCCGCAGCGAGGGCGCAGTGTGATGGGGGTTTCGCTTGGGGGGTCGGCCTTTGTGTTTTTAGTGTTGGCCTTCTGTCTTTAAGACAGGGAACAACCAAGGAGTCTATCTGGGCGCCAAGTAGGGAACTTAGTGTGGGTCAGTTTGAATTTGAGAACTTTGATGAAATCACCAAAACATTAAACGCGCAGGTTGGAGCCACATCCCACGGGTCTCTATCTCGTGAGTGATGGTGAGAAACGGTCTTGGTGTCAGGAGTCTTGTTGCCCCTGAACCATGGTGGGTCTGTACTGAGAATTACACACGAGCGTGGCCCGATGAGGCCTTTGCCTTTGAAGGCTGTGGTCTCCTTCTTTGTCCACTCCTTGGGGGTGTGGGCGATCCTGAAGGTAACTGGCAGACCCTTCACTTCTTTCAGTGTTTCTGCTCCAGCAATGGCCTCAGTAACAATTCCAAGGAAGGTTCTACTGCCCTGGTGGTGGTTGGCTTAAATTTTAAGTGTTTTGCAAACACACGTGCACTTGGACCAGCCTTTTCTTTCTCCTGTTCTATTGATAGTGAGTTTACGTCTTTGATTACACTCAACTGGCTTGTTCTTTTCTTCAGGCCAGATAACGCAGTGCCGGGGGACGTGCTTGTGCTGACGAAGCCCCTGGGGACACAGGTGGCCGTGGCTGTGCACCAGTGGCTGGACATTGTGAGTGGAGCGCCGCCTGCCATGGGGGCGGGGTGGATAGCACGTTGGCGGGACTGGGGTCGTTTTTGTTGGTGGGTGTGGAGATCGGGGCGTTCCCTCTGCACACGGGGTCCTGTGAGTGTCTCCTTGGTGTGCTTGTTGTGGAGTACGCTTTCTCGAGAAGACGTGTCTGCTTTGGAGTGAGCGCTGCTCCTCATCCGTAAGCAAGCCCTGCCCCTCAGACTTGTTTGCACGTTTCAGATCTAGGTCGTCCCCGTGGCTTCACCCTGTCTTCCAGAACTGAGCTCCTTCATTTCCACTACCCCGGAGTGGAGTATCAGCCATGTCCTTCACAAATTTTAGGGACTGTCTGTTTTCTTTTATTAAATCAGTACCATGTATGGAGTGCTTTATCTTTCATATCTTAAGCATCACTAAAAGAAATCATAGGAGAATGTATGGAAAGTGTAGTGTTTGGGGGTATAAATACAGGCAGGGTTGTTGACAATTTAAATTATTTTATTCATGAGGTTTTCAGTTGTTTTGTTTGGTTGTGTTGTCTTTTTAAACTAATTAGTAACTCCAACATTTTGAGAAGTAATTACCTTGTGCAGAAAGCCTCTAGAATATGAAGATATTTATCCTGAGTCACTTTTCCGCTGAGCTATGATCACACTTCATTTAGGGTTCTTCTCCTTGCCATAACAATTCAAAAATTAATACGGTTATCGCATATTCTCACGTATCTTGGTGCTTTTAATTTCTGTCACTGTCATCTGAACTACCATTCTTGAGAAAGAGTTGAAAAAGAATAAAAATTTTTATGTTATTGATCAACCAGATATATCTTCCTTGATACGGCAGAGTAGAGAAAATCTCTAAGCCACATCCTTGAGTTACTTTTCCCTTCCATCCAGTGACGAGGGGAGACCTTCCATCAGGTATGATGACCTGTAAGTCACATTGGAAGGCCACGACTGGCCAGGAATCTACGGTGCCTCTTCATGCAAAGGGCCAGGTCTGAGTAACTTAGCAAGGTTGCTGAAAGAAGGCAGGTGAGGCAGAGGGTCCTCAAAAATGAGGGGTTTGGGATCCTTCTCCCTACTCACAACCTGACACTACCCTTACTTTTTTTTTTTAATGCTCAGAATTGAGAAAAGCAAGATCCAAAGATTATGTAACTGCATAATACCCTTTCATAAAGGTCAGAAGCAACCAGAGAGTAAATTATTTTGGCATCTGTATGTACAAGAATATCTGTTTTGTACGGCAGGAGAAGAATGAATATAAACTTTGGAATAGTTACTGGCTCTGGGGGAGATATGGGGAGCTGTGGGTTAAGGGAAGAGCACATGGCTGGACTTCAGTTACTGCATTGGGTAGTAGATTGTTGGGTATTATTAAAAAAGAAAAAGAAAAAGAATGCCTGGATGGTGGCCACTCATGGAGCAGGATGATAGTATCATGATGCTAGAGTCTTTGAAAATCAGACTGCGGAAAAAGGGAAGCTTCTTTTCTCCTGACTTTTGTGACCACCTCTGTGGTCACCCCAGGCTGTCCTCAGGGTGCGTGCAGTCAAAGCTGTTTTCACCCTCGTGTGTCCATCGAGATGGCTTGAGGCAGAATTTAGGTCACGTCGGTAAAAATGTGATTGTATGACAGTGCAAGCCTTCAGCTTGTTAGAGGAGATGGGGAGGAGCAGCAGAGTATGTCGGCAGCCATTCCCGGTGTGAGCCGCGTCCAGCCGTGGGGGGAAGCCGCACTGCGGCCCAGTGTCCTGCCAGGTTTACGTGGCCAGGAAACTGCACGACTGGACCACAGAAGAGGGGGTGGTCAGGAACAGAACAGATGGCATGATTCAGCATCTGACGGGGCACCTAAAACACAAGTCACAGGAAGCGAAAGAAAACGTAACTTTGTGTACAAAATTAGATAAACGAAACCCCCAGAAGGTGACCCCCCAAAATACACTCTTTTTCTTCTAGTGGTTAGATTAATCACATTTTTCCCCTTTTCCTCCTAACCTCTGTTCCTGGTACTAGCCTGAAAAATGGAATAAGATCAAACTAGTGGTCACCCAAGAAGACGTTGAGTTGGCGTACCAGGAGGCAATGATGAACATGGCGAGGCTGAACAGAACAGGTACTGGGGCGGGAGGGCTTGTCTCTGGCAGGGGTCAGCCAGCCGGGGAACATTTTAGGCTTTGCGGGCCTAAAATGAGTGCTGGGGCGACTGACCGCAGTGAACCAAGTCCAGTCTCGGCTGCATTGCCCCTCCTCCCTTGGCACCAATTCCTTAAACATGTGAAAAATCACAGTCTTGGCTGGAAGAACAGGCCAGGAGCCAGATCGGGCCGGTACTGCAGACCCCCTTCTGCTGGTACCTGGTTTGGGGTCCTAGATCACTAGTCGAGATCCCATGTGTTCCTGGCAGAAATGCGTTTTAAATGTTGACTTGCAAGAGAGACAAGGAAAGACTGAGGACTAGGGGGGAAAACACTACGTTAGATGGGGTCGTGGGGTCACGGCAGCTCCTCCTGCAGCACGCTTTCAGCTGTGTCCCTGGGGTCCCAGGGCGCTGTGGCTCTGCCAGCACCTCTGTCCCCCTCTGCCTCCCCGGCGTAGATGCCCTCACAGTGACAGCGGTGCCGAGCATAGAGGAGAAGCAGAGAATAGGGAATGGATTCGTGAATTCAGTTGCCGAATTGATGAAGCAGAGTTGAGGTTCTGTTTTCTCTCTGTTCCTTCCAGTCCTAAATTTCTGGGATGATGGGCAGTATCGAATTCCTCTGTGCCCCAATAAAAATGGAAAGGAAACTTATGTAGCATGTTTTCAGAAGCATTTGACTTATCAATTCGAGGTGTTCACATTGTTACTTTGAATTCCCATGTTTGTGTGTATAAACGAGTAATGACATTCGTGTTGTCACTTTTTTCTTTACATTTCGTTTCTTGTCTAGCTTCTCAATACGGGTAGAAAGTAATAACAATAATAAATAGTGGCTACCAGTTATCTGGTAATCAGGCTCAGGAACTTGACCTAGTTTCCTACTTCATTCTTAGGACAGCCTTAGTAGGTAGCTGCTAGTGTCCTCTGTTTACAGAGAAGTAACTCGCTCAAGGCCCCACAGCGCACCAGTGGGGACCCGGGATTTGCAACTACTGCCTGTACCGCTTTTAAGTATTATCATCTATTCCTTCTGAACAGTTAAGTAAGAGATTGAAGCTATTCCACAGTCTTTATGCCCAGTAATTGAGCAAATACTTTGGTACTACACTAAGTTTCAAAAGCAGATTAAAATGAAACAGGAAGGTTCAGGAACCACAGTTCGTCTTCTAGAAAGCAGCAAGGCTTGCCAAGGGGATTACTTGGTATAGTTCAAGTATCTTATACTTCCTCCCCCCCTTTTTTTGGCTTTCATATGGATGTAGAAAATACCAGGCATATTGTGTAATTAAGAAGGAAGCTCTTCTCCTGGGTCTTTGAAGTCCTGACCTCTGACATGCCAGAGGAACTGTTTCTAGAAAACCATCTGTGCAGATGATTTGGAAGCGAACCAGCGTGTAGAATGTCAGCTCCCAGAGGGCGGGTATTTCCGTTGGTTTGGTTCACTGCGGTCGGTCGCCCCGGCACTCAGAAGGAGGGACTCGTTCTCACTGTAGGTCCTCGTTAAATATGGACCGGGTGAGTTGATTTTGCATACAACATGCTAGCTTTCTTTTTGGTACTTCACGGACTTTTTTTTTTTTTTTTTTTTTCATAATCGTGTGAATTGGACCCTGTTTCTCCCCTCTGGCCAAGAGGAAATGCATTAATACAGGCAGATCCTGTTCTCAGACCCAAAACTGTTTGACTATAAAAACTGCTCTTTCTCCAGTATCACACATTTCATCAACTTTGATAAGCTTAGTGATGGAAATTTTTACGATTTTTTTCTGGAAATACCAGTTTTCTTTCTCATCATTAATGGCATATTATATTTAAGGACGTGGGTTGTGTGGCATTCTGTTTTGTAACTTGGAAGATGAAGTTCAAAAATCTTTTCCTTAAAAAAAAGTCACTCTTTGGGGTGCCTGGGTGGCTCACTTGGTTGAGCGCCTGCCTCTCAATCTCCGCTCAGGTCTTGATCTCAGGGTTGTGAGTTCGAGCCCTGCACTGAGCTCCATGCTGGGCATGGAGCCTACTTAAATTAAAAAAAAAAAAAAATCACTCATTTAGTTTTTCAGGATTCCCTGAGCCGACAATCAAATGGATTTGAATGTGGGGAGCGCCTGGGTGACTGACTTGGTTAAGCGTCCGACTCTTAATTTTGGCTCAGATCATGATCGCAGGGTTGTGGATCGATCCCCGAGCTGGGCTCCATGCTTGAGCTTCTCCCTCTCCCTCTCTAAAAAAAAGAAATGGATTTGAATGCATTTTCTTTGTCTTATCCCCTCTATTCTTCACCTTTCTCCAAATGACTTTGAACCAAATATTTGTAACACTTCAGTTATTTAAAAGAAGAAATAATAGGGTTGACCAGCGGATCTTAAAAGATCTTGCCTGACACTGTGATTTAAAAGTTACTTAAAAGGCGCCTGGGTGGCTCAGTTGGTTAGGCGACTGCCTTTGGCTCAGGTCGTGATCCTGGAGTCCCGGGATCGAGTCCCACATCGGGCTCCCTGCTCAGCAGGGAGTCTGCTTCTCCCTCTGACCCTCTTCCCTCTTGTGCTCTCTATCTCTCATTCTCTCTCTCTCAAATAAATAAATAAAATCTTTAAGAAAAAATAAAGTTACTTAAAAACGTGAAAACATTTTTTTTTTTTTAATGAGATCCCAAGTTGATACAAAAGAATTTTATAAAATCTGTGCAGGGCTTAAGGATCAGCAGTGCAACACCGTCTGGTATGAGAAACAGAGCCTGGCCGTGGAAGCCCAGAGGTGCCCCTCCCACAGTCTGCCCCTGAATTCCTGTGTAGGAGCAGCTATGGCTCTGAAGCTCACGTTCATTGTCATCACTGTAAAGTCTTTTTATCACAGAGACTTCTATCTTTAAGCAGTTAGTTATTTTTTGTTTTTGCTTGTTTGAATCCTACCTATGTGTTTTTCCTGCTGTTTTGTTCACACTTAATGTTCCTGAGCGTTACTCCTGGTGTATGTACTTATATTTAATTCATTTTCACCACTATGTACTTTTCTACACCATGACTGACTTGTCTGGTCTACTGTTCCTGCTGAGAACTTTCTAGGCCCGGGCTTCTGGTTACAACGTGTAAGAGGTCAGTGCTGTGGATTTTCTGGACGGTGCTCACTAATTTCCCAGGGGGCCTTCATGCCACGACATACAGTGATCTGCTACATTCAAAAAATTTCTGTAATGTGTTTTCTCTTCCCATTTATTTTTATATATATATATATATTTTTTTTTACTGTAAAAATATTTAGATTTTGGGAGAATCTCAATAGATTTAGATTATAGAAGTTCTTAAAAAATGAAAAAGGAGAGAAGAAACTTTATCCATAGTCTCATCACCCAGAACAGCTTCTGTTATTGTATATTTATGTCTTCTTCCAGGATTTTTTCCTGTGGTTGGTTGGTGGCTTACTGTTTTATTGTTTTATTGTTCATGTTTTCAACTAATGGTTATCATACATTTTATTTGTATTTGGAATCTGCTTTTATTCACTTAATATTACTGAATTCTTTTTTTTTTCACATTATATACTCTAGAACACATAATTTTTAATGCCTAGATGATCCACCAGAGATACACCATAATTAATTTACCTCTTGCTGACTCCAATAGTTTTTTGGGGGATCAGATTTTTTCATAGTTTGTTTTCTGCATTCCAGGAATATTTCTTTGGCTGTATTCCAAAGTGAAATTGTAATTATTTAATTCTTATTTCAGTTATTTAATTCCTAACTGTAATAATTTAATTCATCAGAGGAGAGGCTCTCATCACTTACCACCAAGGCTTTTCCTCTCTATTCCTGTGCCACTTACAATGTACAAGTAGTCTTTTTCCCTTTTCTGGTTCTTCAAATTAAGTCGTTTAACAGTAAGGGATTTGTAATGGATTGATTCTTATTTGTATGAATTTTCAGTTTCCTCGTATTTGAGCATTTCAGATTCCACATCCTTACTTTTGTACACTGCTGGTGGTGACCATATGGCAGAAGCTTATGGAGGAGTATGTGATCATACCTACCAAATTATGTGTGCATGTATTTTGAACTAATGGTCCCACTTCTGTGACTCTGCCGCAGAGCTGCAGTGGCCAGAATATGAAATGGCATGTCTGTAAGACTATGCAGTGAAGCACTGATTATAATTGCAAAAGAGGGAAACAGTCCACACGTCCACAGTAGGTCACAGAGTTGTCTAGTCGACGTGCATACAGTGGAATACTAGACAGCCATTGAAAGGAATGCAAGATCTCTATTCCTGGACGCTCTCAGATAACGAACGAGAAAGGGGCAGAAGGACGTATGTGGTGTGCTACATTTTGTATGTTCATATGTGAATAATATGTATTTTATACTTTCAAAAAGGAACAAGGGGAAAATAAATCACTAATAAAAATAGTTCGATCTAAGAGGGAATAGGGAGGAAGTAGACCTCTCTGAAGTTTGCCTTCAAAATGAATGTTTTCTCTGGTTAAAAAAACTATATAAAAAATAGCATTGCTTACAATTCTAAACTAAATTTTTTATTTATTTGCTTTTTAAAAAGATTTTATTTATTTATTTGAGAGAGATAGGTAGATTAAGAGAGAAAGAGAGAGCGAGCACAAGAGGGGGGAGGGTCCGAGGGAAAAGCAGACTCCCCGCTGAGCAGGGAGCCCGATGCGGGACTCGATCCCGGGACTCCAGGATCATGACCTGAGCCGAAGGCAGTCGCCCAACCACCTGAGCCACCCAGGCGCCCTAAACCAAAATTTTTAAAAAGCTGCCTAACATATATCAAGTTAGTGGCAAAACCACATGGGGAAGAATTATTTCAAATCACTTTGAGCCTGATATTTTCAATATGTATCCTCGGGACAAAACCCCACAAAGATGTATCATTGTTCAGTGGGCTTCTGTTTGTGAGAATATTGGGATAATATGATAAAACAGATAAATTAATACAGTTTGGAACAAAGATTTCAAGAATAAAAAGAAGTAAGACCGAAGAAGCTAAGTTAATAACTGTAATCTTTACTTTGGAATTATCAGTATGAACTCAGGATTTTTTTTTTCCCTAAAAATGTTTATTACCGCGTCTGTCGAGAAGGCCTAGAAGCAGCGATAAGCTAGTGGTAATGAACTCCTAGTGCCCAGATTCTGATCTGAAAGTTAACATTTCCCATGAAAAAGTGCCAGGACTCCTTGGGGAAACGGCTGATTCCAACTCTGGGAAAGGAAGTACAGAAGATAAGCCTGGGACCTCCTGTGCCTGAAAGTAATGGAGGTATCAACCAAGGGGGTCGTGTCACCACACTGTATCTTGAGGAGGCTCCCGCCAGTCAAACGGGGAGAGGAGCGATGTGAACATCAAGAAGAAAGAGTGGCTGAAGCCAGCTGTAGCATAGCGACTGTCTGAACACCAGTGAGACCCTAGCGATAATTAACATTTTGGGCCACCTTTGGAAGTTGCTAGAGCCACCAACACATTCTGAAAATAAATGAATCAATCACATATTTCACCTTTCTTGTGTGGACTGTACTTTGGGAAATGCAGATTCTTTAGAATAGTCACTTCTCATAAATGCAGGAAAAATGATTGAATCACACACTTGCCACGCTTGCTGCCCCCTTGATTTAAGGAAACTCAACAACAGTCATCAGCAGCTGCTAAAACTGTTAGGTGAAAGGTTCAGGTGAAGGTGGTAAGTGCCCCTGACCCCTGCCAATGAAGTACTCTTGCCAGAAAAAAATGAACTTGAATCTATCTCATCGAGCCTTGGACCTGTCTGCCAGGATGGGCTTTATGTAAGGTAGTAGAACATGTCACCATCAGGGAAGACAGCCAAATCCAGAAAGCAGGAGCCTCTACAGAACAGGTGAATCCATTTGCACAACAAACGGCATGGGGGAGAAAAAGGGGAAACTGTTAAAAATTCAGAGGTTTAAGAGAGATCTGTTACATACAATATTAATTGCATTGGAATGACAGTGGTATTGTGGTTAACAAGTTATTTTTTTTTAAGATTCTGTTTATTTGCTAGAGAGAGAGAGAGTGACAGTACAAGCGAGCAAGGAGCCCGATGTGGGACTCGATCCCAAGACCCTGAGATCATGACCTGAGCTGAAGGCAGACGCTTAACCGACTGAGCCACCCAGGTGTCCCTAACAAGTTTTTTTTTTTTTTAAAGATTTTATTTATTTATTTGAGAGAGAGAGAATGAGAGACAGAGAGCCCGAGAGGGAAGAGAGTCAGAAGGAGAAGCAGACTCCCCGCCGAGCAGGGAGCCCGATGTGGGACTCGATCCCGGGACTCCAGGATCATGACCTGAGCCAAAGGCAGTCGCTTAACCAACTGAGCCACCCAGGCGCCCGTCCCTAACAAGTTTTTATCTTTTAAGAGTTACATATCAAAATATTTACAGGCGAAGTAGTAGGACTAGGGTTTGCCTTAACGTGATCCACCCCACCGCACTCCCCAACAAGTAGGCTGGGATAGACAAGACCCCTTCAGAAAGGTGGTAGTGGTTGGAGCTGGGTTTCGTTGGGCACACAGGAGTTCGACGTAGTGTACTACCCTTCTCTGCTTCTTGTGTTCCATTAAAATTCCTGTAGGAAACATTAGCAACAGTAATCCCTATGCAGGGAGGAGGTGGTGATTGATACCTATTACTGACTAGGATTTGGCGTGTCCTCTTGTATTCTCTGGTCTTCTAAGTTCCCCCAAGATGGCACTGGGAAGAGCTTCTGAAGTGCACGTCTTGGCTTCTATTAAATGTCATCAGCTGCCCTCCTGCCCTGGGTGCGTTAATAGAATGGGATGTCTGGTTGCTCGGCCACTGTGATGGACCAGAATTGTCGATTCTTCTCTCCACCTCTGTTGCTGAGAATGCACTTAAGTAAGAAATGTTGGTCTAAAAAGAGAAAATGTGCCAAAAAAAAAAACACATTCCCTCCCAGGGTACTCCTGTAAACATAGGGTGTATTTCATTTCATGAGAAAGAGGTACTTAATTTTTTAAAAATTAGACTTTGTTACTCCCCCCAAAATGAAATACTTCAGTATGAATCTAACAAAGTATGTGCATGCTCCATATGAGGAAAACTGTAAAACTGATGACAGAAGTCAAAGAGATGTAAATAAATGGAGAAGTATTCCAGGTACAGGGATAGAAAGAATATCGTCAAGATGTCCGTTCTTCCCAAATTGATGTATGGATTCAGTGCAGTCCTATTCAGAATCCTCGCCAGTTATTTTGTGAATATTGACATACTGGTTCTGAGTTTATATATGGAGAGGAAAGACCCAGAACAGCCAACACAGTGTTGAAGAAGAGCAGTTGGGGGACAGACACCACCCCAGTTTGACGACGGTGTAAGGTACAGTCATTGCCACAGTGTGATACTGGTCAAAGAATAATAGTGGAACAGAATACACAATCCAGAAATGGACCCACAAAAATAGAGTTTGATCTTTGACAAAGGAGGAAAGACAGTTCGATGGAGAAAGGATCATCCTTTCAACTAAGGGCTCAGGAACAACTGGACATTCACAGGCAGAAATTCAAATCTAGACACAGACCTTACACTTCTCCTAAAAATTAACTCAAAATGGATCATAGACCTAAATGTTAAATTCCTAGAAGATAACCTGAGAGAAGATGTAGGTGACCTTAGGTTTGGTGATGACTGTTAATGATACAGCACTGAAAGCACAATCCATTAAAGAAAAAATTGACAAATTGGACTTTATAAAAAACTTCTCCATGAAAGACATGAAGAATAAAGAGGCCAGCCACAGACCGGGAGAAAGTCCTTATAGCACACATAGTAATACAATAAACACTAATATCATCCAACAGTTGTGCTCCTTGGTATTTATCATACTGAACTGAAACTTCTGTCCACCCAAAAACCTGCACACGGATGTTTGTCGCAGCTTTATTCATATTTGCCAAGACTTGGAAGCAACCAAGAAGTCCTTCAGTAGGTGAATGGATAAGTAAACTGGTCCATCCAGACAGTGGAATATTACTCAGTTCTAAGAAGAAGTGAGCCATCAAGCCATAAAAAGACATGGAGGAAACTTAAAAACATATTTCTGAGTGAAAGAAGCCAATCTGAAAAGAGCACTCTACGATTCCAATTCTGATGTTCTGGAAAAGGCACTACTATGGAGACAGTCAAAAGAGCAGTGGTTACCAGGAGTTGGGGGGAGGGGCTGGAAAGAATAGACGGAGCATAGGATTTTTAGGGTAGTGAAAATTGTCTTTATATCCTCTGATGGTTGTCACACATTAGTCAACGCCCAGAGACTGTACATCAAGAGTAAGCGCCTATGTAAACTATGAACTTCATTTACTAATAATGCATCAGTAATGGCTTATCACTTTTAGCAAAGGTAGTTCACTAATGCTAGATGTTAATAATGGGAGAAGGGGGCGGGGACTATACGGGAACCTCCTGTACTTCCTGCTCAATTTTCTTTAAACCTTGAAACTACTTCGAGAACTTTTTTTTTTTTTTTGAAGATTTTATTTATTTGACAGAGAGAGACAGTGAGCAGGAACACAAGCAGGGGGAGTGGGAAAGGCAGAAGCAGGCTTCCCGCCCAGCAGGGAGCCTGATGCGGGGCTCGATCCCAGGACCCTGGGATCATGACCTGAGCCGAAGGCAGTCGCTTAACCAACTGAGCCACCCAGGCACCCCGAGAACTATTTTTTTATTAGAAAATTAACCTTTTAGGCAATTCACTTGTAGTAAGAATGCTTTGAATTTAGGTCCGTCTTAAAAAGTCTTGTTCTTTGATTTTAGAATGGCTTAGATCTGATTCTTCTGGACAGATTTTTTTTTTTTTTAGTTCACTGGAAAATTACTGTTGATTGAAGCTGCTGATAGTTCTAAATGGTTCTTGTAGAATAGCTTTCAGGAGCGCCTGGGTGGCTCAGACTTGGTTAAGTGTCTGCCTTCAGCTCAGGTCATGATCTCAGGGTTCTGGGATTGAGCCCCACTTCAGGCTGCCTGCTCATTGGAGAGCCTGCTTCTCCCTCTTCCCATGCTCGTGCTCTCTCTCAATCTCTCTTCATTCTTGCTCTATCCGAAATAAATAAAACCTTAAAAAATCAGCTTTCAAAAATTCACTCTGGTTTTTGTTGTTTTGTTGGTTGGGTTTTTTTTAGAAATTACATTTTCATTATTCCAATGTGCCACCTCCCTGACAAATTAGGAATTTTGACATCAAAGTGTGTTTAAAATTTTGAGTTGAAGAAGGGTGGCTTTCTCCTCCATCTTCATTTATGTCACCAGATAATAAACGGCTCCTCTGTGTTCTCTTAGCTGCGGGGCTCATGCACACGTTCAATGCCCACGCCGCCACTGACATCACGGGCTTTGGAATTTTGGGTCACGCGCAGAACCTGGCCAAGCAGCAGAGGAACGAGGTGTCCTTCGTGATCCACAACCTTCCTGTCCTGGCCAAGATGGCTGCTGTGAGCAAGGCCTGTGGAAACATGTTTGGCCTCATGCACGGGACCTGCCCGGAGACATCAGGTACAAGGATCCTGGGCCCAGATCTGAGGATTAAACTAGCGAGGCTAACGGAAAGTCCTCTGACAAGGAAGAAGCCAAGTACGTGAGCACGACCCCACTGTGTGTGAGGTCAGTGCTGGTAGATAACCTTGGCCGCCTTAGCATGAATGTCGTCAGCTCCCCCGGGTGCTGCAGGTCACCTGACTCCTGCCCGTCTGTGTGTGATCCAACAGCGTGAAATCAGTGTTTTGTTTGGTGACAGGACTGGAGGGAGGGAGAATTTGGGAAAATGGGTCCTTCCTCGGCCTTCATGGGAAACTTAGCATTTGAATGAACTGTGATCCCTCTCTGTTACATTGAACATGGTATATGTTTTCCTTGAAGAAAATGTCCAAAATTGCTATTTTAAGAATGAGATGATATACGATGTCTCCAGAGTGCCCCTTACCTGGACTCTTGTGTTTCACCCAGGATATCCTGCTCCTTTCAGTTTTTCATATTTCTCTTTTCTTTCTAACTTTGTAGTTTCCCTTCCCTGACAAAAGAGTGAAATCATCTGGGGATGTAAAAATACCGGTGCCTAGACCTGACTCCCAGGAAGCCTGACTGCGGCGGTCTGGGGTGGGCCTGGCCCGCAGGAATGCCAGCAGTGCCTCAGTGGGCTTCTGGGGGTGCAGCCAGAGGCGAGGGCCACAGAGCCCTGCCCACCCACCAGCTCTCTGGGAGGGCCTGCGGTTGTCCAGTAGGCCTCCCACGGCCTCTGTACAGGACCCTTCAATTTCCTGTCCTTAAAACAACAACAAACTACAATCCAGTTTCTAGTAAGAAAGTTCCAAGCAGGCACCGGAACTGTTGGTCCTTCATCGGGCTGGAATGGCGCCCACCGCCTGGTGGGCCTGGAGTCAGCAGAGATTACCGTCAGATTCCGTCTGTTTCCTTTACTCAAAAGTGAGAAGTTTTTACTTTTTGTTAAAAGCATAGATACATATTTTTTTCTTGACTCTGTTATTTCTACTTAGGAATACATAAAATTTTCTGTCCTAGCTACCGACGTCGTGAGGGAGGCTCTCGTAAAAATATTTTATGCTTTCTCTGTTTTGAAGATGACAGAGCCAGTGACAGGACCGTGATACTTTGAGGCATACACCTCTTCATGATCTTAACTTTTAAGTTAAAAAAAAAATACAGAAAGTTTTTTTTTATAAAAGGAGGAATCCACGTAGAAAATCAAGTCAAAAAAGAAAAGTTCTCTTTTGGTTTGAAATACTTCTCTCAGTGTGGGAAGAAGAAAGTAGCTACGATGTATGTTCCTGCGCCTTCAAAAAAACCTCCCTCCTGCACGGCGTTCAGTGATTCACACGAGGTCATTTTCACAGTTGAAGCTTCACTATGTGTGTGTCCCTTTAATATAGTGGTTCACCAAGAAGCCGCGCGTTGCTGTAGCGTGTCCTCTGCGGGAAGTCAGTTGACTAGAAAGGGCAGCTCACTTAGAAACGGGTTGGTGGCCGGAGGGCCGTCTGGAGAAACTGCCGGCTCGGCGTCCCAACGGACGATGATCCTTTCTCTCTCTTTTTCCCTTTGCCAGGAGGCCTCCTAATCTGTTTACCGAGAGAGCAAGCCGCCCGGTTCTGTGCAGAGATCAAGTCTCCCAAATACGGGGAAGGCCACCAAGCATGGATTATTGGGATCGTGGAGAAGGGCAATCGCACGGCCAGAATCATAGACAAGCCCCGGATCATCGAAGTCGCACCGCAGGTGGCCACTCAGAACGTGAACCCCACCCCGGGGGCCACCTCTTAATCTCGACCCAAGTAGCTCTTTGGTTTTGTTTTTAAATAGATCTATTTCCTTTTTCATCATTTCAATTAAAGACTATAAACGACCACAAAAATCTCATTGTGTCTACACATCTGGTGACCTTAGGTCGATTTGTGAGTGGATGCAATTAATAAAATAAAATCCATTGCCTTTTTTTCCTGTTACATTAACTGAAGATGCACCTAATCTTGAGGCAGCTTCTGAGTTGAGAATTATATTGTTATCCAATACTGTTGATTCATTTTGAATCTTTAGACACTTATCTCTTGCCGCATAGGCTCTTTTTAAAGGTGCTTTCCCATAGCACAGACATACCCGTCGTGGTGTCAGATAGCACTTGGTGTCTGTTCAGTTTGTGCGTATTTATCATTATCAGTCTGGTCTTTTGTAAGTGTCTTGGATGGTATTCTGGAAAGATGGAATTGGTCAGTGACACAGTGGTATCCCAAGAGCGAGAGGGTTGCATGGTTCCTTCCAGTCCTTGCTTTGTAAAGCCCAGCGTTCTCATTCAAGAGCGTCTCTTTTGACCCAGGACATTTTCCCCGTAGTGTGTTCAGTTCAACAAGGCAAGTGCTTAACTCTGCATGGAAAGCACTCTGGGGACAAAAAAAGAAAGTTAATTTCTTTTTTTGTAGCTTTCCTAATATTTACAGTAATACCATTGACTGTTTTCTTTACGGACAGCAAGCAAGGATCCTTTTTGCAATGTAATTAGATGTTCTCTAGTGCACAGGGAATTGGCCTTCTGGAAGGGCGTTCATGTATAATACTCATTTACAACTCAATCTATAATTAACTACACAAATAATTTTGAAATATAATCAATAATAAAGACTGTTCTCTGGATGGTAGTGGTTACTACATTTTATATTTTGTATAGTGATTTCAGGATTTTTGGTTTCCTAAACTCAGCAGTTCTTTAGCCGAATTCTTAGCATTATTTTGTCCTTGGTGCCAGTACTTTTTTGTGCACGCTTTTTGTGATCTGTGTTAAAAAATCTGCATTGCCAACGTCGCAGCTCGAACTGAAACTTGTTATTCAAATAAATATTTAATTTTTTTTATTGCTCTTGTATAATCAGATGCCCCCTTTAGTATCATTTAGAAGCGTTGGGAGGGTTTTGGCTAAAAGTACAATTTATTGGGGAAAACTAGATTTTAGTTTTATAAACTTTTAAGTCTTTCATGGGGCCTATATTTTCTTGAATTAAATTTTGTAGTGCTAGAACAAATAGGCAATCTAAAAAGGTGTTTATCTGTGTTACTTAAAAACAGAGGCTTCCTTCTATTTTAACCCACTAAACCATAAGGACGGATCGCGGTCACTAAGCACCAGCGCGCTGACTCTTCGAGTGTCCACCTGAGAGAGAAAGCAGCCGGCCCTGCGAGTCTCTGATGTTTACGGGCACCAAAGCCCTGGCGACAGATCCTCTTCTTGCCAAAGGGAGCCACCCCTCCGGAAAGGACAGCCCCTAGAGGCTTTCCTTTGGATGCGCCCGTCCTCCATCAGAAGCCAGAGGGCAGCCTTTTCGCAAGTGTAGCTGGAACTCAAGCCATAGTACGGTGTGCGGGACCCGAAAGGCTGCTTCGGAACTGACATTCCTTGGACGTTTTCTAGGGATTTATACAGATGTTGGTCCTCAAAAGAAAGCTACAGACCAGTGGTCTACAAAATAAAATGTGTTGGAAACCTCTGAGTAAGGTGAACGTACTGTTGGGCTTTTCTTTTTTGGATTCACTAGTGATGACTAACTCCGAATTCTTTTTAATGTTGATCATGCCTTGAATGCCGGTGATTTCCTCGGTGGCAGGCGTGCTGAGAGGAAGAGAGCTAAGCGGATTCTGCACCCGAGGAAACCATCTTCGGGAAGATTCGTATTAATAAAATGGTGGGTACCTAGAGGTCTGGGTAATTCATGTGATCCCGAGGGGAAAGAACGGGTCTTTAAAGCGTGGTTTCCCAGAGAGCATTCCAGATCGCCTGCATTAGGATCACCTGGCGGGTGCTTGTCACAGGCACATTCTCGGGTCCCACCACGGTCCCGCGGAGTCCAGGGTCGGGTGCTCTAGGGAATCCGTCTTCGACGAGCACCCCACGGGGCCAAGTGCACTGAGGTTTGGGACCGCAGACGGAAGGACGGAGCAGGGGGCTAGGAGAGGCGAAGACAGGACAGTGCAGTTTGACGACTTAGCAAAATCTGTTTAGCGTATCACACGATTGGTGGGGAGTTCATTATTTGGCTTCCTGGTATAGTGATTTCTTTTCTTCAAGTCCTATGACGTAGTCGCATCCAAAAATACAGCTTGTTAAAATGCACAGGATTTTTACATACAGCCTGAAAAGGCTGGGCCCTGGTAAGCTCAATTATCCTTCGGGCCACACAAGTGACTCGCCAAGGAATATCAAGCTTAGCTTGTTATTTGCACAGGCTGTGTGGAAACATTGACTGTAACTCTGTCCAGGAAGAGAAACAAATATGACATAAGCAATATGTACTTTTGGGCTAAATATTTTTTAAATGACTTAGTACACTGTAGTAGTCTCCCAAGTTCTGCATGCGTTATGATGAATAAATGCAAGTGTTTAAGTTGTTCTGATTTTAGATGTATGAGCCAGCAGTTTCGGTCTGAATTTAACGTTGCCTTTAAAAGAGTTAAATCTGAATTCTAAGTTTTACAATCTTACTGTGTAAAGAGAGACCAGAATAGCTATACTATACTACTGTTACTATACTTTATTTTCAGAAGGAATAAAGCGAGCATAGATAATGATGCCTCAGATACTGAACGGTCTTGTGTGTGCATGTGTGTGTGTACAAACGGATCTAGATTTCTCCCTACCTACCTTCGCAAGCTCAGAGCACCCTTTTTCTCTAGATGAGGTATTGGTGGCATAGACAATGTAATTTACTTTCAACAGCAATTTGTACTTTTTCTCATTAAAATTCTGCATATTAACAATGCAGTTTTTGAACATGCCAGGGTGCAAAAGGAAAACCAACAGATTCAAACACCAATTCTTAAAGTAGAGCATGGGAATAGCATTTTGCCTCTGGTTGAGTCTCCATGTCTTGAACCTAAACATGGCTCAACCAAGTGAGCCATGGTCTCACCAAAGCCCTGGAACCAAAGCCCCAGTGAACCATGGACTCACCAAAGAGGCTGGAACGAGACACTGCTGTGGGGAGAGTCCCGCATACATCAGGCTCCCTGCTCAGCTGGGAGTCGGCTTCTCCCCCACTCCCCGCTGCTCCCCCTGCTTGTGGGCGCTCTCTCTCTCCCTCTCCCTCTCTCTCTTTGAGAAAATGAATAAACATCTTAAATGAAAATAAAAGTAGCTATTTACACAGCCCTCCAGAGCCCTCTGCCAGTGTTCATTTCTGTTCGAGGAAACAAGTGGTGGCTCAAACAGTGTACTCTGTAAATAAATCTATTCACAAGAATTGCTTCCCGGGCCCTGCAGGGGCCAGCAGGGAGGAAGATCTCACAAGCCCCTGCTGCCAAGCCCCATCCCCCGGGCCTGCGAGCAGACTGTGGCATAATTTGCTTTCCTGTAGTACCGGCAAAGCTAGCAGTTTGGGGCCAGGAGTTTAGAGAAACATCCAATCCCCAAATACCTGAATCGTCAAACAGCAGGGCAGCTCTGGACATGACGCATCCTCTCGGGGATCTCCCGCCCCCCCCCCCCCCGGGCTTGATGGCATTGCTCTTTGGCTCACTGGCTTCCAGAGTCATGGTTTTACCCTCCACTGGACTCCTGGTTCTCAGAGGTTGGAGCTTGCCCCAGTCTCTAGAGTTCTCAGCGGCCACCATGACGGTCGCTTGGCTCTCACTGGTGTCCTCAAGGGGCACAGGTTTTAGGGGGCAGCATCACAAAGTGATGTGGGGACCCCTGAATCGCTGCACTAAGGAGAGTTGCTGACTCCCGTGTGACTGTGACGTGACCGAGAAGGAAACGGTATTTTGTCGCGCCACTAAGATTTCGGGGTTTACTTGTTACTACAGTAGTAGAGCTTCACCTACCCCAATACAGACATCTACAGGCGATTCACAAAATTACACATACCGATGTATTTATAAAAGCTTGTCAGTCCCCCTAGGCAGCCAAATTAAGACAACAATATGAAATTGTTGGGTTTTTTTTAACTTCCATACTTGGCAGGGATTTTAAAATGGATAAAGTCTAGAGTTTTCTTAACAATGCTCATGACTACTGCCAAATGGTTGAAACACAGACGCGGGCACACAAACACACAATTTAAAAATTATCTGTAATGACTCCAGAGAGTAGAATGGTGGTTGCCAGGGGCTAGAAGTAAAGGCAGTGGGCAGTTGTTGGTGAAAGAGTACCAACCTCTATTTGGAAGATAAATAGGTTCTGGGGATTTAACATACAATACAGTGACTACATTAATAATAATGTATACTTGAAGATTTTATTTATGTATTTGAGAGAGAGCGCGAGCAGGAGCAGGGGGAGAGGCAGAGGGAGAAGCAGACTCCCTGCTGAGAAGGGAGCCCGATGACGATGACGTGGGGCTCCATCCCAGGAACCTGGGATCACGCCCTGAGCCGAAGGCAGATGCTTGACCGACTCACCCACCCAGGCACCCCTAAACATATATATATGGTTATATGTATATAACCATATATATATATAAAATGATAAATGTCAAGCTGGACTATATACAACGGGGCCATGGAAGGCTGAAATGTTCCAGCAGGACTGACAGGTCCCTTTCCTCATTCTTGAGCAATTTGGCATCACGCCCAAAACCCCGCTTCCCCCCAGCAGTGTCTCGTTCCACCCTCTCTCCCTCTTCTCTGGAGAAATTCCTCCAGCAGCTTGTCCGCCCTTGCTAGGTAGGTTCTTGCTGAGGGTTGCTGTCCCGTTTTCCTCTCTGCTTTGCAGACAGCCCTGCACAAGTGAGGTGCTCAAGAAGTGTGGAAAGGTTTGTTGGTTGATTTTTCCGCATTTCATGCTAGATAATATACCCCAGTCCTCTTGACATTTCTCAACCCAAACAGTTCCATAAGTGATAATTTTATCCTTTCATCTTCTGCTGGAGTTATACATCTGTATCCTTGAATTTCGAGTTCGTGCTGAAAGATTACAAATCTCAGCACTGCACACCGTGTCAGTTCTTCAAACTAGTTTTAATTATGGCTTCTATCAGAAACAGGCTTGGAGAAAATATGCTTGCATCTCTTTGTGTGGACATGATTTATAGAAAGCTTGTCTTAGAATACAGCACCTAGGAGCGCTGGGGTGGCTCAGTCGTTAAGCGTCTGCCTTCGGCTCAGGTCGTGATCCCAGGGTCCTGGGACGGAGCCCCGCATCGGGCTCCCTGCTCAGCGGGGAGCCTGCTTCTCCCTCTCCCGCTCCCCCTGCTTGTGTTCCTGCTCTCGCTGTGTCTCTGTCAAATAAATAAAACCATAAAAAAAAGAATACAGCACATAGCTTAATTATATTTGTGCTCTTAGAAGTATCTTTATCCTGTCTTCCTTAAATTATTTTCACGTGAGAAGACCGTGATCTTTATGGGACAGATTCTGAAATCGTAAGTCAGGTCTAAACCACGGGAATGAGTGGAGTGAGGTGTGTGTACCCGTGTGTGTGTGATTTTTTGTTTCCTTCCTCCCTGTCGCACCTTCGTCACAAAATACCAGAGATCAGTGGTGCTCCACAGGATGGGAGTGGGGGTAGTGAGATGTCAGTCACCCAGAGAGATTTTTCCTTGGGATTCAGGGCTCACCCAAATAATCCAGGATGAACTCGGCTTCAGATCCTTAATCGTATCGGCTAAGACCCTTTATCCAAACAAGGTCACTTTCACCCTTTCCGGGGCTTAGGACATAGACATACTTTTTTTTTTTGGTGGGGGGCATGATTTCTTGAGGGGGGAAGGGCAGCAATTCTGTTTTGAGATGTCTGTTACAATTCCTGGTGATGATGTGGAAGCAGGCAGTCGGATACACAGCGTCTGGAATTCGCTGGAGAGTTGAGGCCAGAGATGAAAATTTGGGGGTCGACAGTTTACAGAAGGAACTTAAAGTCGTGAGACAGAGATAACTGGGGAAACCCGTGTGTATAGAAAAGAGATGTCCAAGGAGCCTGGGGGATGAGGGAGACCGCAGCAAAGGAGACGGAGAAGGAGCAGGGACGCAAGTTGCGTCCGTGTTTCCCTGGGTCCTGTGATGTTTGGGGTCTAATAAGCTTCAAAATGAGAATCAGCCGTTGACCACCCCACTGGGTGATGGCTGCTCAACTTTGACCACCACTTGTGGTGGAATGGGGAGGGTAAAAGGTTGATGCCTTCCAAAGGAAATTGGAGAAAAACCGGAGACGGGAAATTTACACAATGTTTTCAAGTTTTGCCACAGAAGGAGCGGAGAAATGCATGAGCGGGAGCTGGAGGAAGAGGTTATCACCAGTGCGGCGCTGGCGGAAGGCTTCTATGCTGATGAAGGGGGAGATCCAACAGAGGGGGAAGAGGAGGAGAATCGCTTGAACGAGGTTCTGGAACAGTCAAGACCGGAGATAGGGGTTACTGCACAAGGGGTCGGCTGGCTTTTGCTGGGAGCGCTGACCTGCCCCACAGTAGCTGAGAAAGCCCAGATGGGCAGGGCTGCAGGTGGCTGGCCAAAATATCAAATATTTTTATTTTAATAACACAGTTGTTCAAGATGCGCACTTGGGGAATCTC